ATTAATATCATTTTGTGTATAGAAAATATCTATAATATTTTCTAAATATTATTAGAAATATTTTCTATAGAAATATACAAGATTATTATTATCCCAAATTTTAATCTTTATATTTTATACTACTATAATCTTTACTAGCATAAAGATTGTGGTAGACTCCGGCGTTGTTCGTGTGTCAAAGTTGGAGACCGGACGCTTGAACGGTTACGTTTGCACTTTCAACGCTCTTCCTACGACTTCTTCGTTTTTACCGCTTACGGAGAAAGGTATAAATTTCTTACTCACTATAAGTTTTAGTACGTGATTCTGGGCAAGATAATCATGTTAGGATGTTAAAATTTTTATATTCCGCTGCCTATCCTTGCATGGTTACCTTTCAAGAAGATAACGGCCGAGCGAGGGAGTATTGCCGGTAAGGTTGGAGCTTCAATAAAACCAAGTCGCCCACGGCGAAGGTTACCTCCCGTCGATGTAGGTTAGCCTGGGTCCTCATTCGTTGCTGCATCTTCGCCAAGTGTTGTTTGAGGTCGGCCAACAATTCCGCCCGATCTCGCAATAACTCTTCCACATGTGGATCCTTGGAGCGGAGGGATAGGGTGGGGAAGAGAAACGGCGGTGGGCGGCCGTAGAGAGCCTGAAACGGTGAGACACCCAAGCCAGCGTGGTGACTACAGTTGAGTGCTAATTCTGCCCATGGCAGGAGCGTCGCCCACTTGCCCGGTCGCTCGAACGTGAATTCCCGGAGGTACTGCTCAAGACTCCGATTCATCACCTCGGTCTGGCCATCGGATTGCGGGTGATAAGCTGTCGAGAACTTAAGAGAAGTACCGCTTAATCGCATAAGTTCCTGCCAAAAAGTACTCATAAGCACGGAGTCCTGGTCGGAGATGAGCGTCAATGGAAACCCGTGATGTTTCACCACTGTATCCACGAATAATTGGGCAGCCCGTGGAGCATTAAACCCGGATGGCAATCCACCACAATGCGTGTACTTGCTTAGGCGATCCACGACAACCATGATAACGGAGAAACCCTTTGACGTTGGTAAACCCGTAATGAAATCCATAGATGCGGACTCCCATACCTGATCGGGAATAGGCAGTGGTTGGAGCAGGCCGGCCGGCTTTTGGGTAGAATTTTTTGTGGCCTGACAGACCGCACAAGATGCCACATATCGCTTTACCTCCTGGCGCATGCGCGGCCAGTAGAACTGTAACGCCCCGAAAATAGGCCTATCAGAATTAATTAATTGATAATTAATTAATTACTGAGAAGGACTCAAAAATATGTGAATTATAAAGTTGGTCAATAAATAATAAAAATTTTATCATTTTGTAGAGTTTGACTGTCCGATTCTAACGGTTTAATCGGATTTCAATTCGGAGAAAGTTGGACCAAAAAGTGTTCCCCGACTGGGACCAAATTAGTCCCAATCAGGGACTTACGTTTAGAATCGGAGAAGATAGCAGCCCACTCCACTCAGCCGCCGAAACAGTCGAAAGGAGGTCATCACCGTGTCTGTTTCCTCTTCACTAAGGCTATATAAGGACCACCTCTTCCTACCCAATTCTTCACCATTTCTTCCCAAATTGCTTCTGAGAGTTAGCTTTGAGTGTGTAGAACGCAGTGGTGCTGTCATATTGGTGTGAGGTCGCCGGAGATAGCCACAATCCTTGCCGGAAGTTTCGCCGGAAAATTTCCAAAACCTCCATTACGCTTCGAGGTAAGCCCGTAGATATATCTAAAGATTAGAATGTTCATATAGGTTGTTTTTACGTTCATAAATGGTCATTTGGTTGAGTTTTGTGTTTGACATGTTTGAAGAACCAAGAATCATAAACCTTGAATTTGATGTTAAAAATATGTTTTAATGATTCTAAAATGATCTATGAACCTTGGAGAACATTTTTATATAGTTTAATTGAAGTTTGGTAACTAAAATT